GCCTTGTGGCAGCATTCTCAACCTCTACTCATCCTTTCTGATTGCTCCGCCCCCCTCCTTCCACATATTCCTATACCCAACACAACTTGCTTTCTCCATCCCATCTCTCCGTGATCCCGAACGAATGCTGTTGTCCATTCTTTTCCCATGTCTGTCCAGGAAAGGTATTCATCCCTCATTCTTTTCCTCTCCCATCCATTTATTCAAGAGAGCTATTCTTCCTTATCTCACTCCGTCTATCCAAGAAATATATCCTTCTTCCTCTCCCCTGCCTATCCAGGAAATATATTTTTTTATTCTTTCACTTTGCCTATACAAAAAGATATTCTTGTCTCTCTTCCTTTATGTATCTAAAAAATGTGTTCTTCCTCCTTTACCATCCGTCTGTCTTATGAAGTTCTTCTTCTTTCTCTCTCTCTGTCTATCTAATAAATTTATGCTTTTTATTCATCCCTTTTTCTGTCAGTACAATAATATTTTTCCTCTTTTTTTCCTTCATCTGTCCCCAAAATGTTTTTTCTTCTTGTCTTCTTTCTGTTCAAGAACGTTGTCCTTCCTTTTCTCTCTCCGCATACCCCAAGAAAGTCATTCTTCCTTCTCTCCGTCCGTCTGTTTATTGAAGATACTTTTTCCTTCTCTCCGTTTGTTCAAGACACTTATGTGTCCTCCTCGAGGAATCTGTTCTTCTTTCTCTTTTTTCTGTCTGTCCAAGAAATTGAAGGGGCCGTAAAAAAGAAAGGTCTAACGAAGACACATTGGGGATGTTTCGAAAAAACAAATTTAAAAAAAAGTATAATTCAGGTGGATTTATGCGCGTTGCACTACCCTATTTTTCTTTTCGGAAAATGTGACTCACACCGTGCCGTATAGTTTTGACCCCTTCAAATGGTTATTCATCGTCTTCCTCTTCGGTCCTTGGAAGTTTTTCTTTCAGACGCTATACTTTTTTGCCCCTTCAATTATTATTCATCTTCCACCTTCGTCTGTCCGTTGTAATGCAGTTATTCTTTCTTGTCTTCCTCCTCCTCCTCCTCCTCCTCCTCCTCCTCCTC